CACTCTTTCCTTATTTAAACGGAGACTTAGTCAATCAAAAACATTTATCTCACCATCTCAGCACTAAGCGGAAGATCAAACCTTTTTTTTCTATTTTAAGTTACCAAAAATTACCATCATTTTATCTATTAATTTAATTTCATACATTGTCATTCAACCACAAAGGCACAAACTACTATATATGCTAAATTTGTCAATTGATTGATTGTGTAAAATTTTACAACAGCAATGTGTAGAAACTAAACTTTTTTCCTTTACACTTTCAAACAATTATTATAAGAAGGTTTAAATATCATTTTAGTTTCTATAATCTCATAAACACTACAGTTCCTTTTAGTCCATGTAATTAAAAAATTATATTTTAGCCTTTATGCATTCCATTTCATCTATTACCATAGGAACTAAAAGAGTAGAGTCTTAATTATAAGAACTAAAACAGAATGACATGTATAGAATAAAATGAAATGTTTTAATTAGAAAAACTAAAAGGTAAAATTTAGGTCAAAATACTTTTTTAGCATACATAATTTGACTTATTTTACCTTTTAGTCCCTCTATTTATCTTTTTCAATCTTTTTTAATCCCTATTGTTTGAGATAAATCTCTTTAATTTAGAGTAATTTTGGCAAAATAAATTTAACACAAAGTTAAATTAATACCTTTGTCATGTTAACATAAAAAGAAACACTGTTACAAAAAAATTAACGACAGAGAATAAAAAGTTTAAAAAACTGCAAATTAAGGGTATAAAAAGATATATCTTAAACTATAGGAATTAAAAAAGATTGAAGAAGAAAATTATAGGAATTAAAAGATCTATTTTAAACCATAGGGATTAAAATGTAAAGTAAATGAAACTATAAGACTTAAAATAGTATATTTTAACATAAAATTTGTAAAACTACGGGGAAACAAATGATCATTTAAAGCTGGTAGAAATCATTGATTTTACTATATATATGGGGATTTATTATGGTCACATGACATGGTAATAAAAAGAATTACATTATACAAGTGCATTCAAAGTAGAGTAGAGAGTCTAGTCTATGCAAGGTTTGTGTTGTGGTACAATAAATAATAAATATAATGAGTTTTACGGTCTCTACCTATAACTATAAGCATAGAAATTGAAGTGGTGTTTGTAATTAAAAAATAAAAGATGAAAAAGGAGTACCTTTTGTGTGTAATTAACGAGGCTCATCTCATCTGGAAAGAGGCTTCTGCAGCAACGCCGTCAAGTAAAGCTCGCCATTCTTGAGGCCACCGGAATCGGTCTTGTTGCCGGTGGCCCACTTGACTTTCTTGTAGCCCAATTTCCCGAACAAGGGCCCATAAACCTTTTCAAGGTCCAGGCCCTTGCTGAAGAAGTGGTCCACCCAAAGGTACCCACCGCCCCGCAGCACGCGATCCACGTCCATCACCAGAAACTCCAACACCGTCAGAGGGATCCACCGGTTCACGGCGCGCCCGCACCGCACCAGATCCACCACGCCGTCGAACACCGGAAGCCGCTGCTGCAGCGGCCCG